ATTGTAGGAGCCAGAAAGGTCAAGGACACCAGAACATGCCCCACAGAATTAACTAAGCAGGGCTCATGGGGCCTCACAGGAGTGGTTGCAATCACAGAGCCTGCGTGAGTCTTCCCTTGGTCCTGTACTGTAGTTGTTTAGCTTGGGGTGTTTGTGGGACTCCTAATAGTGGGAGTAGAGGTGTCTCTGACTCTTCTGCCTGCTCTTGTGACCCTTGCCCTTCTTCTTATTGGGTCGCCTCATTCAGCTTTGATATGGGGACTTGTGTCTAGCTTTACTGTGTCTTGTTACGTGTGTTTGGCTGGCATCCCTGGCAGGCCTGCTCTTTTCTGAAGCAATGGATCTGGGGCAAGGGTGTGGTACTGGAAGGAGTGGAGGGAGGGGATGCTGTGGTCGGTTGGGACATATTATATGAAAGAATAATAAATAAAAACAAAACAAATAACCAATCCAGACTCCTCAGTGTGGGAACCTGGTTAGTCATGAGGTTAGCTCCACCCTGCCCCTAAACACTAATAATTACCTATTTGGTTTTATTTCCCTTCTTGTTCAGGAGCTCTAGAGAGATAACCTGAAGCCAAATCATAATGTCCCAAGGCAAGTTACCTTATAAAAATACATTATCCCAAAGCAGGAACACTGAAAACCATAAGAAAGGCCTAGAGACTAGGTGTACCTGGTCAACTGAGACACACTGGTGCTCCACCCACACTGAGTGGCCAGGCTCACACCACCTCCTGGGCTCAGAAGGTGAGTCCCTCAAAGCCACCACATCTTCCTACAGCTAGAATGTTGCCAGAACGAGGCTTGAGGAGGTGGTCATGGTGCCCCATTCCAGCCTGTGGCTTCGGGGTAGCGTTCCCATTACTGCTCTCTGCATGGACCCCTGGGATGGGGAGGGGGATGGCAGTGCAGAACCTTGCCTTGGGCTTACCCTCAGTGAACAACAGTATTCCAACAAGCAGAACTGGCTGCTCAAGATGAGGGAAAAGCAGAATTGTTCTCAAACTAACCAGGTTTCAGGTTGGGTGGGGAAATCCTGCCATTCACAGTGTCCAGAAACACCACATCCATCTGCCATTTCATCCAGAGTGGCTCAGGGAGGGGGTGCCCTCAGGGCCATAGTGCTGGCTCCAGAGTGCAGCCCACTGAATGTCCCATTTCTCTTTTGACAGGAGGACCACAGCTCAACCTAGAAAAGGTCTATTTTGGAACTGGGTCAGGGCATCAGATGACTCCAAACCATGGGGCCGCTGCACATCCAGTCTAGGACGCCCTCCTCTTTCTTGATTCTCCAAGGCTCTTATCCCTATTAGGCAAAGAACCTCTGAATTATGGGCCATCTCAAGCAGTCACAACAGTGGGTGGTGCTTATCAAGGTATTCAGAGCTACAGGGGTTGTCCCCTCCCCCATAGAGCTTCATGCATCCTCGGCTGGCCCCAATTTGCTTTCAGACAATGACAATCTCGGATTCATTTTTTTACTTTTGCAACAGTATATCTCTACATAGTCCTGGCTGTCCTGGAATTCACTCTGTAGATCAGGCTGTCCTGGAACTCAGAAATCTGCCTGCCTCTGCCTCCTGAGTTTAAAGGTGTGTGCCACCATACCCAGCATCCTTGACCCACCTTTTTTGCCCAGGGTTGGCATGATAGGTGTGCACCACCATACCCAGTTTTATGTGGTGCTGGGGATGGAGCCTAGGATTCCACACTTGTTAGGAAAGGATTCTACCAACTGGTCACATCCTCAGCCCTGGAAGATGCCTTCCTCATAACACATTAAGGTCACCTATGTAACCTGGCACTATAGACCGAGTAAGAGTATGCAAACAGCTATCAACTAAGTCTTTTTTTTTTTTTTTTTCTTTTTAATTTTTTAAGTCAGGGTTTTTCTGTGTAGCTTTGTAGACCAGGCTGGCCTTGAACTCAAGAGATCCACCTGCCTCTGCCTCCCAAGTGCTGGGATTAAAGGCGTGTGCCACCATTGCTTGGCCCATCAGTTTTTCAGCATCGACAGCTTCTCTGAATCCCAGGACAGACCAGGCCTGTGGTGGCTAAATGATAACAGTCCCCAGCTGGTGGGACGGCTTAGAAAGGATGGGAAGGTGTGGCCTTGTTAGAGGAGGTGTGTTAGCAGGTTTCAAAACACTCATGCCCTTCCCGGTTAGCACACTCTGCCTGGTACTTGCTGATCGAGACGCTACGCTCGCAGCTATCCCTGTCACTATGTCCTCGTTCTGCCACCATGGACTCTTTGCCATTTTTTTCTTTTTATTGAGCTATATATTTCCCCCCACTTCTCCCTCTTCCCCTCTCCCCTTTGACCCCTACATTTCCAATTTACTCAGATCTTGTCTTTTTCCCCTTCCTAGGCAGATCCATGTATGTCTCAGAGTCCTCTTTGTTACCTAGGTTCTCTGGGGTTGCAGCGTGGACTCTTGAGTGTCTGAAACTGCCTCGGTCATGGTATCTTGTCACAGCAATAGAACAATGACTAACACAAGGCCCAATCTGTTGATCTTCTGAGATCAGTGGAGATCCACTGTCTACAGCATGATGGCTTTAACCAAAACATTTTTCTTTTTAAGTTATTTATCAGGGACTGGAGACATGGCTCAGAAGTTAAGAGCACTGGCAACTCTTGCAGAGGTCTTGGGTTCAGTTTCCAACACCCACATGGTAGCTCACAACCATCTGTAACTCTAGTTCCAGGGGATCTGATGCCCTATTCTACCTTGGCCACTACTACACACAGTGCATGTTGGTGTAGGTTTAGTAGGTCAAGAGCATTTACTGATCAGCAGAGGACTCAGGTTCATGTTCCAGGACCCACATGTAACTCACAACTCCCTGTAACTCCACTTCTAGGGGATCCAAGTCCTCTTCTGATCTCCAAGGGCACCTGGGTACACATACACTCAAGCACATACAGATAAAGTAAGTAAAATTTAACAATCAAAAAATAACGTAAGAACAATGAAAAACCACTTTTTAAAAAAATTTATTTAAGGAACACAAAATGCATCGAAATGATTTTTTTGTACTGTATTTGAGACTGGGTCTTACTATATAGGCCTGGTTGTCATGGAACTCACTATGTAGACCAGGCTGGCTTGGAACTCACAGAGATCCACCTGCCTCTGCCTCCTGAGTGCTGGAATTAAAGGAGTACACCACCACTCCCAGCTTCTAAATGATTTTTTGAAAACCAAAATTTAAGTTTATCATCTCGTCACCTACCATTCTACCCAGTCTAAAGGTACTTTGAAGACATCTTCTGATTTCCATATGGACTATTTGAAATTACTGAGTACAAGTCCAGCGGTGCTGGGCACCTTGCCATTTTTGGCTGGAAACCTTGCACACCTCCTCCCAGCACCAGTCTCCTTGGCCCATGGTGTACACTTGGGAGATAGCAGGTGAAGGTCACCCAATTTTCTGAAAAAAGAGGCCTTCTGTAAAAAGCCAACGGGCTAACTAGCTAGGCTCAAACTCTAGCTATGTCCTCACGGTTTCTGTGCTGTAGTCACTGGAACTACAGACACCAGAGAGTTAGGTAAGAACAGTCAGCTCCTGCTCTTTGTGCTTCCCAAGTGAGACCAGGGTTTAAAACATTCATGACAAGAGACAGAAGCATAAAGTGGAATCTGAGAGGTTTTAGTCACCAGTAAAAGAAATCCCTCAAAGTTTAACTCCATCTGAATCACGTAGAATAAAATTGGAACAGCCAGAAAACAACTTGATTTGTAGGTTTTAAAGTCCTAACTTAACAATGAGACTGTTTTATTAAAACAATCATAAAAATAAAGACCCATCTAAATGCAACTGCCAGTGTTCCTAGGGCTAGGAGAGTGAGGTTTCCAGGCTTAGGTAAATGGCTCCCTGGGCTGCTGGGTGCATCCCCTGCGGGGTTTCGTAGGCTGTGGAGAAGCAAGCACTGCTCAATCATACACATTACCCGTAGGACTAAAATCCAACTATGTGACTACTTAAGACGTGTCCTGATCTAATGCCCAGTACTGGAGATTTTGGCTTAATGTACCTGCACGGGAAGCCAGCAACTTTTAAAGGCCACACCCCAATGAAGAGGCTAAGGTACAGGGGGACAGTGTCTGCACATCCAACCTCCAGGCACCCTCACTCAAGGAGGAGCTGCCTGCTTTTAAACCTCACAGGTTTTGCCTTTTGAAACCAAAGCTAAGAGGTAAAAAGTGAAAAAAAAATTTTTTTTGCACGATAGAGGAGTGTGAAATTTCTTCCATAAAGCAGTGTATATATGCTTACAAGCAATAAAAAAAAAAAAAAAAAAAAAAAAAAAAAAAGGAGTAACTGCAGCAGTCTTAGCTGGATGTGGACATTAGTCCACTCCAGGTCTAGGACAAGAGCAAGCCTCAGGTTCTTCACAGCGAGGCAGGGAATGGAAACAAGGGGCTGAGCAGCAGCACTGAGTGCTAACATTCTTCAAAGGGAGGGACAGTGGGGGAAACAAGCCACTCCAATAGCTCTCCACACCTCGTTCTAATTAGGGAAAGCTAACGAGGCAAACTCCCACCTACCTCCACCTGATGAGGGTGTTGGAGTAATGACAGACTCCCTGGGACAAGCTGGGTATGACGGAAACCACACTCACAAGAGTCTGAGAAGGGAACCTGGGAAGTGGCTGGACAGGCAGGCAAGTGGCCTCTGAGATTCTGCTGTGGACCTGGGGATCCCCTCATTTTGGGCTTGTGTTCTCAGCACTTGAGTCAGTTCCAAACAAAACCTCATCTTCTACCCCCTTTCCTGTCTCCCAAAAGGAAAGCAGAGAAGGTCCCTGCAGGGCTGTAGAAACGCAGATGGAGAGCTCCAAGGCAGCTGGGGCCTTGGTATCATCAAGGGATGCTGTGTAGGGCACTGAAATGAGCTGGACTTGAGCTGCTGGCTTGGTCTCCGAACACGGAACACCAACGGCCTTTTCTGTTCTGTTCCCCGGCGTTTCCCCCCCACTCCCACCCCCCACCCCCGGCAGCAGCAGGGTGGTTGTTTTGGGAAGCTACTGGTTTTGCCATTTGCTTCCAGAATCCCAGAGACTGTAACAAACCTTACACTAAACACCGTTCAGTCCTGAGTTGGGTGTGAGCCCAGCAAGGAGGGCCGAGTTCATTAGGACTCTCTTCCCTCCTTGGCGTGACGTCATACATGGCCTTCAGCCTTTCCTTCTTCCATGGCCTGCCTCTCAGATCTTTTACCCGCCTCTCCTTCTACAGCCTTCTTGCTCATTGCTTTGCTGGCTGCTTCCTGGGGGTTAAAGGAGGAGGTAAAATTAGCCTCTGTCTTCCCAAGATGGGTTTTATCAAGTCTACAACAAATGTGTCTGCTTGTATTTGGGGGAACAGTTGATAAGTGGGGGTGGCCACCTGCAGTAGGAAGAGCTTGCAATTTGAGGTGGCTGTGGGGTCATTAAGTCTTGTGATGGTGGAAGCTGGGGCTCACAAACAGACTTGGGAGCAGAGGACAACTGTGGGCAAGGAGCTGACCTGTTTTCAGACAGACCTATTCCCAGCGTGGCACTCAACACAGATGGTACTGTATAGTACCAAGTGAGGCTGTAGTAACACACCTGTTTTCAAGCCAAGCTGCACATCTCAACCAGGAGGGATTACTTGGCAAAAAAAAATACTGATGGGCTTAGAATTTTTTTGTTTTGTTTTGTTTCTTTCAAGACAGGGTTTCCCTGAGTAACAGCAGTCCTGGCTGTTCTGGAACTCACTCTGTAGACCAGGCTGATCTCCAATCCACAGAGATTTGCCTGCCTCTGCCTTCCAAGTGCTGGGATTAAAGGTGTGCGCTACTACAACCTGGCTAAATTGATTAATATTTTAAATGACAAGCTAACTTGGTTTGGTGACAGATACCTGAAATCCTAGAACTCATGAGGCAGAGGCAGGAGATAAAAGTAGCCTGGTCTAGAGTCTTCTACGACTCAAGGCTTAGCCTCCAGTCTTCCATGGACACGAAGGGCCTCAGTTCCCTCGGGTTGGGTCCCGGCACGCACCTTTGCATCCTGCTCTGCGAACTTGGTGAACATGTTGGCATACACCCTGCGGTCTCGCTCATTGTGCTCCTTGGCCTTCTTCTGGCACATGCAGATCTGCAGTCTTGCGGCCTTATTCTGAGGGTTCACCTCCAACACTTTCTCAAAGTCACCTTTGGCTGACTCAAACTCGTTCATGAGCAGCTGGGCTTCACCCCTTCTGTATAAGCCTTTCTCATTGGCACTGTCCAGTCCAAGGGCCTAGAACAGAGAGGGCCCACAGTTTAGGAGAGGTGGCTGTAAGTCTTCTCACTTGAGGGTACTGAAGAGGATCTTTAGTAAACAGTGTGCAGATCAAGGGAGACAGGCAGAGAGGTGCAATTATACCCTAAGATAAGCACCGGTATATACAGGGATGACATGATAATTAAGTGCACTTTGATTTTCAATGTTCTAATATAGAATGCCTCCTCCAAAGCTCATGTGTTTACGCCTGGACCCTTGGATGGTACTAGGAGGTCTGACTGGACCCAAGGACCCTTCATCAGTGAGTCTGTACTGAACAGGCAGTAAGGGATTAGAGCAGTGGTTCTCAACCTGGGGGACACAACTCCCTTAGGGGTCACATATCAGATATTCTGAATATTGGATAATTACAATTCATAACAGTAGCAAAGTTATAGTTATGAAGTAGCAATAAAATAACTTTATTGATGGGGGTCAGCACAACATGAGGAATGTATTAAAGGGTTGTAGCATCAGGAAGGGTGAAGCACTGGGCTGACCAGAGAGGAAGGTCAAAGGGGTGTGATTTTTTTTTTTTTTTTTTGAGACAGGGTCTCACTATGTAGCTCTGGTTGTCCTGGGACTCAGTAATATAGACCAGGCTAGCCTCAAACTCATGGAGATCCACCTGTCCCTGCCTCCTGAGTGCTGGGATTAAAAGCATGTGCCACGACACCAAGCCCTAGAGGTGTGCTTTTGAAAGTATACTGTCTCTGGGTCCTGTGTCCTGGCTTCTATAAAAGCAAGTGACTTTTCTCTGATATGACTTTCTGCTACCATTCTCTGCCCATAGCAATGGTGCCAGTCAGACATGGATTGAAACCTCTGAATTAAGTGTAAGACAAAGAGCCCTACCCCTGACTTGTATATGTGTATCCATGTGTATGTAGGCCAGATGCCAATCTTCAGGAACTGGGGTTTGCTGAATATGCTGGCCAGCCAGTAAGCCCTGGAGATCTGGCCTACCGACACTGGGATAACAAGCATGGGTGGCCTGGATTATTATTATTGTTGTTGTTGTTATTGTGTGTGTGTGTGGGGGGTGGGTGTTTTGCCTGCATGTTTGTCTGAGCACTGCCTCTACACCTGTGGAAGGCAGAAACGGTATTAGGATCCCCTGGAACTGGAGTTATAGAAGCTGTAAGCCACCATGTGACTGCTGGCAATTGGACCCAAGTTCTCTGGAAGGACAGCAGGTGCCTTACCCACTGAGCCACTCTCTAGCTCCTCATGAACAGCTTTTATGTGGGTGCCAAGGACCAAACTCAGGACCTCACACTTGTGTGACAGGCACTTCCTCCCCACCTAAAATTGTAAGTGTTCCTATCTCTAGCACTTCTAGGAATTTATCCTGTGCAAACACCCAAAACAACATGTGAAGAGAAGCCCCGAATATACAGCATTCTTCCCTAACTTTTAAATTATTATGAACATGAAGATCTTACAGTGAGGACCAGTTAAAGTAAACCACAACAGAGTCACATAATGGATCTTACAACGACAAGGCTTTTAACCCTAAACAAGATGAGGGAGCATTGAGAGAGTGCTCATCTGACAGGGAAGGGAGTCCTGGCCTCATGGAACTGTGTCCAAATCTTTCTCTAGTCAGCTTAAAGTTCATTTTTTTTTTTTTTGGTGTGTGTACATATTATGCATAAGTGTATGAGTGTGCATGCATCTGCGCGCGCGCGCGCGCACACGCACACTCGCACACACACACACCAGAGGTCAATTATCTTCCTCTATTACTCTCTGCCTTACTTTTGAGGCAGGGTCTGCACCTGAACCTAGCTCACAACTTTCATGGAAGTTGGCAGCCCACACACCCTTGTGATCTTGATTTTCCCGTCTACTCAGGGTTCCCTATCTGTGTGGGTTAGGCTAGGCTTACTATGTAGGTGCTGAGATTCAAACTCCAGTCACCCATACTTGCACAGGAAGTGCTCTTATAATCACTGAGCCATCTTTCCAGCCCTAAACCCATGTAATTTAATTTAAATATAGGCACAGACTGGGGCTGTAGCTCAGCTTGCTGAGTATATACAAAATCCTAAATTTTATCTTTAGCTTAAAACAAAACAAAACAAAACAAAACAAAAAAGCCAAACCCCAAAGCATAAACAACAACAAAGTCTAAAAACTGGTGTTGTGGTGTACGCAGGAGGATCAGAAGTTCAAGGTTATTTGTGGCTATACAGCAAGCCTGACGTCAGACTGGAATGAGACCTAGCCTGAAAAAAAAAAAAATTAAACATAGATGCTATTCCATATTTGTAAAAAAGAGGAGGAGTATTTACAGAATGATTTGGGAGGGGACAGAGATGGCTTAGTGGGTAAAGGCACTTGCTGATAAGCTTGACAAACTGAGTTGGATTCTCAGGACCCAGACAGTAGAAGGAGAACTGACTCCCCAGGGCTGTCCATATGTGCATGGCTTGTACGCACCACCCATACACACATAATGAATGTTTATAGAATGTGGAGGGGGGAACTGGGTAGAAGTATAACTCTTGCAGATCTGAAATCAGGTCCCAGCAACCACACGCAATAGCTGACAAATGGTGATTCAAGCTCCAGTGAATCTGATGCTCTTTCCTGGCTCCTGGAGCACCTGTGCGCACATTCCCACACACAGCAGGCAGATACAAGTATTAAAAAAAAAAAAAAAGTGAATCTTAAAAAAAAAAAAAGGCTTTGGGAGAGCAGGTTGATGGGAAGTCTATGGCTGGACTCTCTTGTATGCTTGAATTCTGAGTCGCTTTGTAACAGCTCTGTATTTACTGCTGGGCAGTGGTGGTGCAAAACTCTAGAATAGCACCTGGGAGGCAGGGGCAGGTGGATGGATCTCTGTGAGTTGGAGGCCAGCCTGGTCAACAGAGCAAGTTCCAGGACAGCCAGGGCTACACAGGGAAACCCTGTCTCGAAAACACACACAAAAAACTTTCTTTTGTAAGAGTTGTCTTGGTCATAGTGTCTCTTCACAGCAGTAGAACAGTGACTTAAGACAGTCATGATTAGCTACAGGCCCACCTTTAAGATACACTTAATGGTAACGTTTACTTATATTGTAACATATACTGTTCCTTCTAAAGCTAGGTGTCTGTAAAAAGAGCCCACACTAACTAGAATAGAGAGTTGCCAAGATGGTTCTTATAGCAAAACTCTGCCACTTGTAGTAATGGATCAGAGCACAAATGCAAATCTGTGAGGGCTGCTGAGATGCTCTGGGCCTCTTAGATTAAATCTGTTTTCAGTGTTTGAAGGCCTAAGAAACTCAAACTAAATCTGCTCTATTAAAAGGGAACCCAAGGGCCAGGGAAGTGGGCAGTGGTAAAGTATTTGCCCAGCATGCACAAGGCACAATCCTCAGCAGGGCAAACAAAACAAAACAAAAAGTGGAACTCATACGGTTGGTTCTATACTATGACACTCAAAACCAGTATGAGACCACGGATGAAAACTGTCATCAAGTCTATGAAAAAAATTATGTAAAATGTCTGATAGAAATAGCCCACATCTAGCCCAATCACCTGAGTGTCCCAGCTCATGCTGAGCATAGAGCAAACTGTCTGAGGGAGGCTGAAGCTTCACATGGACTGAGAGTGAAGTGTGGGCCACCCCAGTGCAAGTCACATAACCACCCACCTTGTCGCAGCACTCCACAGCTTTGGTGTACTCTCTAAGTTTCAGGTAGCACATGGCCAGGTTTAGGAAGGCCGCAAGCAGGAACGATTCAGAGGCCTTTGACTCCTTCTCCGATAGGCCATACTCCATCTCCAGCCAGGACACTATCTTCCCGTACTGAATTACAGCCTGCATGTACTTGCCTCCCTAGGAGAAAAAGGCCAGTGATGACTTGTGCTCTAGAAAGGATGTAACAAAGTATGAGCATGGCCTGCCTCGGCTGAGTCCTCCCACGACCCCCATGACCAGGCCTCAGCTCTCCTACCCCTTCCTAGTCCTATGGAAGCTCTGCTGGCCTGTGAGGTAGCCTGTGTAGCAGGCTGACACTACAGTATGCTGTTTCTTGGCATTCTTCCAGCCTGGCAGCAGGTTCCAGCCTGGCAGCAGGTGGTTACACATTTGAAGCCAACCCTCAACAGTCTTTCAAAAGGATGGTGAGCTGTATGGCTTATGGAAGGGGGTGGTGACTTTTCTCTCTTCTCCTGGCAATCAGCATTACATAGTAAACACTACAATATGGTAACGTAGTCCCCAGACAGCAAGCCTGGGCTCTCTGAAGCAGATTGCAAGTCCTGGGCTCTCGTGAGTAGTGTGAGAGCAAAACCAGCCAACACAGGCAAAACTGCAGCAGTGTGGCTGTGTCCTGGCATTATTGTACTTCTTTTTTGTTTTTTTGAGACAGGGTTTCTCTGCTCTGCATTGCTTTGAAGCCTGTCCTGGAACTAGCTCTGTAGACCAGGCTGGCCTTGAACTCACAGAGATCTGCCTGCCTCTGCCTCCCAAGTGCTGGGACTAAAGGCAAGTGCCACTGACACCTGGCACATTACTGTACTTCTAAGAGTAGGCAGTGGGCCAGAGTACTGTGTGCTGATCCATGGGCATACAGTATAAGCAAGCTTGAACAGCAAAACTCAATGTGTGAGAAAATTGGTCTACTCTTATTTGTCCTACAACCCCTCCTCTGCAGTACTAAAAACTGAACCCAAGGCCTCCTGCACACTAAGTAAGCACTGCACCCATTATATCTCCAAGCCCTCATTTTTATTTCAGACAGACAGGACCTTGCTAAGTTGTCAAGGCAAGCCTAAAACTTGTGGTCCTCCTGCCTCAGCTTCCAGAGCAGTGGTTCTTAATCTTCCTAATGCTGTGACCCTTAGGAGTCAACCTGGGCCAGCACACCTGGCCCTGCTGACTAATGTGTCCTGACAGCTGTAAGCTATTGAATGATGCGTGCAGCAGGGCTCTGAATAAGAAACTGCAGTGGAGACCACGTGCTTACTGCTGTAATAATAGTAATCCCACGAGTGGAGTGACAGCTGGGAATCATGCAAATGAGAGGGCTCTTCTCTGCAGAAGGCAAGTACAAGCCTGAGTACAGAGGACACTTCCTATCAGATGGCAAAAGGGCAGACACATTGCAGGACATTAACCCAATGTTTACCTGCTGAACACTGCAGAGACCAGTGCTAGGACTGACTGCACTCATGGCAGCAAGGACATCTCCAGTCCCCCCCCCCAGGCACAACCAGCGAGCCTCAGACACACGTCCTTCCTACAGAGCACTAGGGGGCGCAAGAGACCTACACACAGCAGGGAGTTCCCAGCTTGCACAGGCCACCTGTGCTTAACAATGACTTTCAGAACTAGATGAGGTTAGTCATTTCCTGCTTCTCATGAGTGTTAGAGGTTGAAAGGAAGTTTCAACACCAGTCTAAATAGCACAGCTCAGTCCTGCTTTGCCCACAGCTGTAAACCAAACTTGCAGGTCAATAAAAATGTGCAGATGTCTTGAAATACAAATCAGCAGTGAAGCCCATCTCTGCAGTTGCCCACACAGCTGCATGTTGTGTGTGGCACATGTGAAGTCAAACATCCTGGGAAGATGGACTGCTGAAAGCGGGCACCGCGGAAAGGAAAGCTGCCCTGAGCGCTGGAAAGGGAGGGTGCACAGGAGACAGCCTACCAACACTTCTAAAATCCACAGCTCCAGCTAGCATCCACAACGCAGTCTTCACCTATAATTAGGAAGGTGCCTCTAGGACATCAGCGGTACAAAATGTTCAGAGATGTTCTGGGGTAAGTCTCAGGTCAGTGGTTTTGAACCTTTCATTAATTTTCCCCTAACAGACTAATGTTTTGAAAGATCTTGTCTATCAAATTACATGTTAAAAATAATATGTTCCATATGTGTGACTGATGATCCAGATTTTATCCAGATTGGTAATTTTAGGAATTACCTATCAAAACATGTTGAAATATATGTATCATCACCATAATGCTCCCAAGCAACACGTGTAAGTGATCTCAATCACATGAAAATCAAAGGCTGGATTTTTCAGATTCCCAACTCAGAGCTCATACCTGTATGTGCTCTGATTCATACATTATTTTAGAAACTGTTAGCATAAACAAACATGCGTATATTATTAAAATCCCTGGATTTCGCTTTAAAATGAAGATCCAGTATCACTTACAATAAACGAAACTCATCCCTACCATTGCAGTGGCAGTCACTAAGATGGTCCCGTGACCCCATCACGAGTCTCAGCTCCAAGCGAAGAACAGATGAACTGCCCCCCAAAACAAAGAGCCCAGTGGTCTTTACTTCTCTGCCAGTGTTCTTTTGGGGTGACTATGGCCTCACGGTTGCCCCGCTTGTCTCCACCCACAGGTAAGATTGTAGAGGTGGCAGCAGCACATGTGAGAAAGAAGCTCACGAAGACTTGACTCAGGCCTGGGCTTTACAGGGTTACAGAAACAACCAAAAACATTTTTTTCTTTAACAAGGAAAAAGCCAAATTCTCTCTCCTCTCTCTCTCAAGACTGCAGTTATAAGAAAGAAAATCTAAGCACACGTGTGCGTGAGAGAAAGAGAGAGAGAGGGAGGGAGGGGGAGAGAGAGAGAGAGAGAGAGAGAGATAGGGCTTCACTATGTAGCCCTGGCTGGTTTGAACTTGTTCTACAGACCTGGCCTTGAACTCACATAGATCCACCTGCCTCTGCTTCCAGAGCACTGAGATTAGAGGCGTGTGCCACCACAGCTGACTGCAGACTTCTGGCTTCAATCTCCTTACTACAAGGCAGGGAACTGAATCAGCTGCTTCCAACAGCATCACCTAACCCAGGAGAACATGTCCATTTTGGAATTCTCAACACTTAAGTCTTCACTTGATGTGTATAGACACACATTTGGGAGTGGGCTGGCAAAAATCTGCATAGCACTCTGAAATCTCCTTTCTTGCACCCGGGATCAGGACCTATGGGATAAAGCAATGGCTCCTAGGTCCCACGGAGAGGGCTCTGAGGAAGCAGCGTCATTATAGGGCAGCTATAAGTGGCATCACTGTGGACAGTGCAAGATTCAGTGCGCTCTCCCCATCAGGTTCTTGGGTGGGCTATGCTGAGCATCCCTGGATGCTGAATCACCTATGCAAATCTCCAGAGCTTTCTTGGTACCCAGCCAGCACCATTAGTGGCATCTTTATTTTGTTATTCTGTTATAGCAGCAGTGACATATTTCTAGATAAAACTTATCAAACAAGATGGGCAGTGGTGGTGCATGTCTTGAATCCCAGCATGTTGGAGGCAGAAGATGGTAGATCTCTGAGAGTTAAAGGCTAGCCTGGCCAACAGAGCAAATCCCAGAATAGCCAGTGCTACAGAGAAACCCTGTCTAAAACAATGACAACAACCCCCCTAAACTTATCAATCAAATATTAAAGATTTATTTTGAGGATGCTGGCTGTGAAAACTGCTATTCCAATTTAGAGTGCAAAGGTAATTCATATTTCTTATTAAAGATTTGTTTATTTATTATGTATACAACATTCTGTCTCCATGTATGCTTGTACACCAGAAGAGGTCATCAGACCTCATTTCAGATGGTCATTAGCCACCATGGGGTTGCTGGGAATTGAACTCAGGACCTCTGGAAGAGCAGTCAGTGCTCTTAACCTCTGAGCCATCTCTCCAGCCCCCTGGTAATTCCTATTTCAAGTGGAAATGGTAATGGAAACAGAGCCTTCTTGGTTGTGTTGACATGAAAACAAGTGCAGTGCAGTAATGTGGGGATCACTCATTGTGATTTGAAGACTATCTGTTCTTTCCTGTCACAGGTCCTAGTGACCTGTCAGGAGTGGAAGCGTGAAGCCCACTCCTGTGAACTCTGACCTTAACAACCTCTCTCCATCCTTTCTCTCCACACCCACTGCACGCTGATGACAGACCAACCATGGTGCATGAGGCCTTGAGTGGGATGCAGGTGAGCAGGCCAGGTGCATCTGCTCTGAGGGGAGGTTACCCTGTGCTCCCAGCATACAGAAGAGGTGCCTGTATTTTTGCCTTCACGCTCCTCTCACCGATCCTTACACTGCGAACATGAGGCCTGTGAAAACTGATGATTGTTCTTACCCAAAAGGAGCTGGCAGCATGCAGAGTGGGGATACTGCATGGACACATGAGTAACAGCACAGCAGGGAAAGGGTTACAGGGACTCACACACCTTGAAGTACACAGTGCCCTTCTCTTTGACAATGGCAGCCTGCTCCAGCTTTTCTTTGGTGTCCATCTCCCAGGATTCTTTGGCCTGTGTGTAGATTTGTGGCATCAGTTAGATGAGGAGGGCACACATTAGTTGGTGCCTAGAGAATAAATAGCAGCTACTTCTAGAAGATACCCAAACTGTGTGCCGCCACTGCCAAGCCACTGCCAGGACAGTGCTCTTGGTGCCACTTTAGAAACATGAGCCATAGCTCCCAAGCTGTGGTCTGCCGCAGGCCATCCATGGGGAATGGGCAAAGCACAGCGGGAGCATCAGTGTGAACACCCTGAAGGACTGCACTTTGGAATGACAAAGCAAAGCTCCTGAGGACCTCCTCACTACCCTGCTGCTAGCACTCCTGTTTCTGCCAAGTTTGTTTTCCAACTCCCAAGTGGGATCATTACTTATGGTCCAGGCCAAGCTATACATACATGGAGAATTTCTTAAACTCTACATCAGGCACTGTCGTATCATTCATAACCATATACATGGATTATGGCCTTTAACAGTATCAGCTTGCAGGTGTGTACTTGGGAAAATTCTTTTCTTTTTTTCCAGACAGCACTGCATGCATCTCAGGCTGGCCTCCACTTTACCACGTAGACAAGGATGACTTTGAACTTCTGATCCTCCTGCTGGCACCTTCCAAGTGCTAAGATTACTGGTATATGTCTCGATGCCTGCCTTTACTTGGGGGATTTTCAGCAAAATACGACTGGAAAGATGGCAGCTCATCTGGAGACATCACTGCAGAGCTGTACATAAATGTTCACTATCATCTGCTGCATTATTATGGTTTATATTATATGTATCCTACTCTCCACAACAGTGCATGCAGGTCTGGGGCTATCACTCAGTGAGAACAGTGCTGTCCTGCATACTTACGGCCATGGGTTTAATCCCCAGCACTTAAAAAAAATACCCATATAAACACCTGGATTTAAGATCACAGAACCCAGAAGAATAACCAGAGTCTTTTAGGAAATGTAATAGGAGTGGTTGGTTCTATTTAGTACATATGGATTAGAAAGTTCAAGTGAAGGGCTGGAGAGATGGCTCAGCAGATAAGAGAACTGGCTGCTTTTCCAGAGGACCTGGGTTCAATTTCCAACACCTACATGGCAGCTCCCAACTGCCTGTAACTCCAGTTCCAGGAGAGAAAGCTGACCCTCTCACAGACACACAGGCAGAAGAGACACTAAGGCACATAAAATAAAAATAAATCTTAAATAAATGTAAGAAAGGAAGGTAGGAAGGAAGAAAAGAAAAGAAAGAGAAAGACAGAAAGTTAATTTAGATGGAGTCAGGTGGGCAGTGGTGGCGCACACCTTTAATCCCAGCACGTGGGAGGCAGAGGCAGGAGGATCTCTATAAGTTCGATGCCAGCCTGGTTTACAGAATGAGTTCCAGGACAGGCTCCAAAGTTACAGAGAAACCCTGTCTTGAAAAACAACAACAAATATTATTGTGTGTGTGTGTGTGTGTATGTGTATATATATTTGTGCATACCCGTGTGAACAACAAATATTGCTAGCGTGTGTGAAGTTGTATAAAGATCACAGGTCAGTGTTAGGTGTCTTTATCACTCCTCACCTATTTTAAAAAAAACCTACTTTTACTTATATATATATATTTTTTTTTTTTCAATATATATTTCCTTTGTCTCCTTCCTCCCTCTCTCCCTCCCTTCCTTCCTTATGTTCACATATATCCCTGAAGGCCAGAGGAGGGCACCAGGTCTCATTACAGATGGTTGTGAGCCATGTGTGTAGTGCTGGGAATTGAACTCCTCTGGAAGAGCAGCCAATGCTTTCAACCTCTGAGCCACCTCTCCAGACTCCTTTGTCTCTTTTCCAAAACTTTATTGATTTTATTTATTTGTGTGTGTGTGTGTGTGTGTGTGTGTGTGTGTGTGTGTTGGGGGTGGGGGTGGGGGTGGTCAGAGGACAACCCTGCAGAGTCAAGTTTTCTCCAGTGTGGGTTCTAGATACAAACTCAGGTTGGGTTTTGTGGCTTTTACCCATGCTGCCATCTTGTCAGATCTTCACTTTATTTTTTGAGACAGTTCTCTCACTAAACTTGGAGCAAACTGACTGGCTGGCCAGCAAGCTCTAGGGTCCTCCTGCCTGCTCCAGTCTTGGTTTACTGGCACATGTCTCCATGCCTAGCTTTTCACATGGGTGCTAGAGATCTGAACGTCTTCATGGCAACTTAGTGAGCCATCTTCCCAGTGTCTTCTTCTTACTTTATGTTTTTGCCTGGGGGTGGTAGAGGTGGTTGTTACAGGGTCAATGCTATATAACACAGGCTGGCCTGAGACAGGTGATCCTTCTGCTTTAGCCTTCAGAGCAACAGGACTCTAAGTGTACACCACCATGTCTGGCTTCTGACTTCAATTCCTTTTAATAAGGCAGGGGACTGAAGCAGGTGAGTTCCAAAAACATCACAGGCCTCCCACATGGGTCCACCCAGTGACACACACAGAGACTCGTGGAGTGGTGACAGCATAAGCTTGGTGCAGTGTGACAGTAAGAATCTTCTTCAGAAAGCAAGGACAGGAAAGCTAAAGGCCTTGATAAGCAAAAGATGCTTTTCTTCCTCTTCACTTGGAGACACAGCTGAGGGTTACAGGGATGTGATGTGTCTGCCCAGTAGAGGCAACTGGAGCCTATAGAGGTAGCTATGGGTTGGAAGTCAGTCCAAGGAGGCCATGGCAGATTCCCTGTCTCCTGTTCTTGGACAAATACGAAAACAGCTGGGTAGCAGGTTTGTTTCCTGTCACAAGTCGAAGCCTGCTGGCCCCAAGACTGAGACTGTGGGATTGCAACCTGGAGCCCCAGCAGAGGCATCTGCATGACCCCTGTGAAGTGTACAGTCCGTTCAGCACTGAAAAGCTGCACCCCAACTCCCCCAAGGAGCCACTTGGCAGTATGTGAACTTTTTTGTCCTCAACCCAGGAAAAAAAGTACAAAAAGAACAAGCCTAGGAACAAATAAGGGAACAAGTCTTGGATTCTACCCAAAAGTTAAAAAAAAAAAAAAAAAAAAGGCTGACACAGGAACAAAATAACAGCAGCTCCTCGTATATATCCCGTTATGTCAGCTTTCCCATGCTCTAAGCAGAAGGGCTCGGGGCTCAGAGGAATCACGGTAATGAGAGGTGAGAGGTAAGCACAGAAATAAACACCACTTAGTTAAACACCTAACACATAGCTATGGGAAGGGCACGAGAAAAATTCTATCATGGTTTTAGAGAAGTTCGACTTTCTCACCTTTTCGAAGCTCTTAAGTGTGACTTCATACATAAGCTCAGCATTGGGTTCAATGCCAAATTTAGGCTTCCCTGCCTCTCCAAAACCATATCTGAAATGGAGAGTAAAGAGACAAGACTTTAAAAGAACTGGTGTATTTCCAGATACTTCGTTGGTATTCTGAGGTACAGAATCAGCCTGTTGTGTATCAGAGACCCAGTAGAGGCTGAAGGAGAAACACTCCATGCTTCAGTGCTGTGTTCTCTCAGACCTGGCTGTATCTGTTTTTATCTACACACGCATGCATGCACGCACGCACACACAAATATTCCTGTACTATCTATCTGGGATAGCCTGCTTGGTATGTTTTTCAACATTGATGTCGTTTTCTCTGCTTGACTTTAGACTTAATTCTTTCCTTTTTTGCTACAAGGAATTTCTCCCTTCAAACTTTATGGGCAGAAAGGATATAAGAGTCCACTACTACAATCATTAGAAAGATCAACAGTTTTATTTTCATAACTTTTAACATTTTTGTCATCCATTATTATTGTTTTTTGTTGATCTTTGTCAGCTTCATACTTGTCAACTCCCCACCATTCCCTCCCCTGCACTGGAAACTTTCCCCTCCATGTCCCCTCCTACTCCCATGTCTGAGTTTCCTAAGGACTCTGTTTCTGAATGAGCTTCTTCTCACTTAAGCATTGCTGCCTTCCCACAGTGCTGCCTCCAATCAGATAAACCCGAGGGCAGCACATCAGCAAAGAAAACAACTCCTAAAGACTTAAAAGGTGCAACACAGCCAGCAGCCCAGCACCCCACTTAGAGGCATGCAAACTTTTAAACCTCCTAGTTATCCTATCTAAGATGTAGTAAACTCCCTTTAGTCAAAACTTACAAAAATAAGCTGGGTGATGGTGGCATATTCTTTTAATACCAGCACTCCAGAGGCAGAGGTAGGAGAATCTCTGTGAGTTTGAGGCTAGCCTGGTCTACAAAGCTACACAGAGAAACCCTGTGTCAAAAAGACAAACCAAAACCCCAAAACCCCCAAATAACAATAACAATAGCAACAACAAAAAACCACTGACAAATAAACCCCAAAGGGATGTAAATTTCACTTTGAGGGACAGGGTCTGGCTATGTAGGGTGCTAATGGGGGGCTTGTAAAAGGCTCTAGGGAACCACTTCTGATCTTAACAAATGGATTGTATTTGGGAAGCACGCACCCCCATGGAACTCTATCTGCTTTAGGGTTTCCCATCACCTAGAACACTACCCTAAATCAGGCATGGTGGCTCATGACTTTAATCCCAGCACTTGGGAGGCAGAGGCAGGCAGATCTCTGTGAGTTCCAGGACAGCAAAGGCTATAAATAGACTGTCTCAAAAAACAAAACAAACAAACAGACAACAACAACAAAATTAGAGTAATGTTCAGTCTAATAGCAAGGGGTTCACTGGAACACCATTTTTATTTGCCATGAGCAAAACTACTCTTGAAATATGAAATGGCATAAAAAAATTCAGTCAGCCCAAACTTGCAGGCCATGGTTTGAAAGATATCAAGATTGGGCTAAAGCTAGTAATCTTCCACTGGAGTCTTCTTGGGGGTCAAGGGGCTGGGGGAGAGCGCACACACTGAGTTGTACATGCTACTTCTATTCCTTGTTTGCGTTTTTTTCCAGGAAAACCTGCTTACTCACTCACCTCCCTTGTTACACAAGAAAATAAGAAAATGAGCTGGAGCAGAGGTACACTAGGCCTGCAAAGAACTGGGTGTGGCAGCTCTAACACCAGGCAAAGGGCATCTTCAGTAAAGCAATAAAGGAAAGGATGCAATTGCCAGTGGCCAATTCTAGGAAATGCTGCCTGTTTTTCTGTGTGCCTGCCTGGAGGGAGGGAGGGAGGGAGAGGGGGAAGGGAGGGAGAGAGAGAGAGAGAGAGAGTGCTGTCCCTCACCTGCTGCAAAGGAGGCAGGCAGGTATCAGGTGGGTACTTCTTAAGTCTGCTGCTGCAAGCATATTATGATTGACAGTTTTGCTAAGTAGGGACAAATGCAACAGATGAACTGGCATTCACTTTGGAACAGTGGCACTTAACTGTGCTAATTTTAACCCTTCTTTGTCAGGGGACATTTAGTATTGCCTGGAGATCTTCTGGGTAGGGTTGCTATTGGCTGCCAGATAGAGAGTCCAGGAATACCGTTGTACATCCCCATGACACAGGATAATCCCCCTCTACCACAACCAAGAATTACCTAGCCCCAACATCACTGGAGTTTCCACAACAGGAAGGGGCGGGGCCAGGTGGTGTATGAGGAATATGGGGACTGGTTTGGAGGAGACACAGCCTGGCTATTACCAGTGGGACTAGAGAAGAGTAAAGATGATTATTTGTACCATCTCTCCTGGTTAAAACAATAATTCTGTTAAGACTAGTTGATACATGTTTCTGGAAGCCCAGGTGCACACCTGTTTGTTCCACGGACAGCTAGCCTAACTGTTGTACAGAAGATGCCCAACTTACACTGGCTCAGGCTGGGCAAAGTAGGACCTGACAGGAAGATGAGACACCAGGAATGAAGTCCAGGGTCAGTGCCCAGAGCAACAGTTGCCTTTCGGGCAGACACACAAAGGGGTCAGCAGCCCTGCAGTACACAGCAGCACTTGAATGGACTCTCACCAGCTGCTCCTTCCAAAGACGCTGAAGCCAGAGACTGTGCTTCGAGAGATGTCACAGAGACAGTGGAAAGCCAGGACCAAGTTCAGACCCTACTGTCCTGAGGAAAGTAAGGCTGTGACCCACACAGCTAGCTCATAATCAGAGTGAGCACTCCTATAGCCTGGGTTTGTTTGGGGTTGTTAGAGAACAGGTGCAAAGTAAAAAAGGAAAGAGAAAAAGGTTAAAATACAAAAGAGGGAGCAGTCACAACATTTAATTACTTATCTGAGCAGAGCAAACAAATTTTAGAAAAGTGAGAAAAAACTCCTGGAGTGGGGAGGCCTCCAAGAAACAGTCACCATTGCATAGTATTTTAAAGAACACTGCATAGAAAAGTCACTGTCCCAGTGAGAGAAAACTGGATGCTTTGTTAATTTCTTATAAAAACACCCTGTCAAGGAGTCTATGGATGTCAAGGAAGGGAGATAGAGAGAGAATGTGTGTGTGTGTATGTGTGTGTATAGGAAGGTGAAATACAGAAGCCTACTCAGAGTACAAATTAGATCAGCATTTCATCTGAATAGGCCAAGACAATTCATAGAACTCGATATACCAACAAAATACCCCAAAGATATGCCTCCAGGGGGGCAGGAGAAAAAAAAAAAACCTTTATACACCAAAACTCATGAGAACTTGAAGGTTTTTAAGCCTGAAAAGATCAGAAATCTCTACCATGTGCTCTACAGAGAGTTCTATTTTCTTGTGATCTAAGGGTAAAATGAATGAAAGCCCTTGCAAAAAGCATAAGAGCTAACAAGTGAGGGCTTCCCTGGGCATGGGTTTGCTAAGTGCTTTGCCTAATTATTCCACTCAGACCTCTGGAGGCTTGCAAGGCTCAGAGCAATCAGGTGACCTGCCTAGGTGCCACCACTGGTAGGCTGCAGAGGACAGAGTTCAACCATGAATGACTGATGACGGCTAACACTGTGAGAACTAGCTACACTAATGAACAGAAAGCAGCTTGACTTGCTTTGCTATCTTACCAGCTGGGTTAAGACTTAAAGATCTGGGTCATGTGTCCCTGAATGTGCACACTTTACAGAACTTATTCTTACAGGCTCAACTGTGAGAGCATACCCTAAACACAGATGCCACCTGTGTGTGAAGCTAGTGCAAATTTAGAAGTGATTATTGAACTTTAATCCCAGTACTTGGGAGCCAGAGGCAGGCAGAGTTTGAGGCCAGCCTGGTCTACACAGTTAAGTTTTGGGGCAGCCAGAGCTACAAAGTTAGAAGATATCTCAAAGGGGGGGGGGAGGGAGAGAAGAAGAGAGAGAGAGAAAGCGAGACTGTAGGTTATGAAGAAGCTGCTCTGTAAGGGGAAAAAGCTTTCAGTCTAAAAGTAGAAGTAGAGTGAACTACAGCACACTGCAGACTCAACTACTGAGGGAGGGCTACAACAGTGGGAGAGCACGGCTGAGACAAAGGCAGCAGATAAAGGGGTCTCATAGCGGCTTTAGAATCAGGAGGCAGCATTCTGGAAGAACTTTCAAGGAAGTGTTGGCATGGTTAAAGCTATTGAAAAACAGGATTATAGAGAAGCATTGGCGATTTGCCACTGGACCCCTGTAGAGGTTAGGAGGGCAGGCCAAAGAGTCTCAGAACTCAGATCTGCCAATGGCAGTCTGTGCAGCCTGTGAGGCCACTCTGGCCAAGGAGATGAGATTGCATGCTGGCATCCCTGGATTCTCTCAGGTTCCATTTCTCAAGATAGAAGAGTTGAATTTATGGTATAATTTTAGACCAAAAATAATACAAAACATGTTTTTACAAGAGACTGTCAGTGCCGGATAGTTCTAAGCTTGGAAGTGCTAATGGCTATCCTTATGACGGGAAAAATTTAGGCAAAAATGAGTCATCTCCGCTGTCTTTAGATCCAGGAAGAACAAGCTGGGTTTTTTTCTTCCTTCAGGGACTCCATATAAGAATGTGGCACGCATTCAAGTGGTAGTAAATCATGCACTACTTCAACTCTCAACATCCTCCTGCTGAATCCAGAGGACAGAAAAGAGGGCGAGTCAATCTTTGCTGATGTGGCACCATGGTATAGGAGCAAATCAAAAACAAGGCTTGACTGTTCTTAGACATACTTAAGCCAAGCCAACTGCTCACAAACTTCTACAGTGGCGTGAGGCCCCAAACTTCCCAACTGTCACCTGACTCAATGAAACGACTTCACTGTGATAACAAAAACACTAAGTGAGAGAGTAGGTCTTCAGATAGCTACACTGTATACTGAAATGGGTGTTTCTTACCGTGGTCCAAGATATAAAACACACTGCTCTTCCCTCTGCATTTTCTCCAGGGCTTTGTCAATTCCAATTGGAATGTCGTGGTCTTCTCCTTCACCAACAATGAACACCACATCTCTGCAATCAAACACCCTTCCACCACAGCGGCCTTCCAGGTGGACTGAGGGTGAGGAGACAGGACAGTCACAAGCTGCTCCTCAGCACTACCTGTCAAGTGAATGGCCAACAGTGCAGCAATACCACTTGCCCTCTGTCCACAAGACACACACAGCGTCTTCTAGAAGCTTTGCCCACCCAGTCTGAAAGTTTAAGAACAAGAATATTTTTCTGTTTTATGTTAAATGAATACTTACTAGTTTTCTTACCTGTGTCACAAGGTCAAGACATATTGGCTCATTTAAACACACAACTAGAATGCCACACATCTAGTCTTGAGTATATACAACAATGGCTTAACCATTTCTAACAGTATCTTGGTTTCAGATGCTTGGACAAAATAAATGAACAAATAATGATGCATAGGTCTCAATGTTATTTCTCCAATAATACATTCATGTTAGATTTTTTTTTCCCTTTGAGCACTCTCTTTTTATGTAGTTCAGGCCAGCCTGTAACTCTTATTTTCCTGCCTCTGCATTCCAAGTGCCTTATTATTCTATTGTTATAGGCATGTACCACATCTTGTTCCAATTATTTTGTATGACATGAGGACTGAACCCAGGTACTTGTGCAGACATCAACCATGGAGTTACACCCCAGCGCCAATACCTTTAATGCCAATGCTACACATGCCTTTTCACACAGGTCTTTTACTCAGTAAGAAAAATGAATGGCTTGTGAGACAGTACAATAGTCACCACAATTCCTCTTTGATAATCTAGTAACTTCTTAGGCTGTTTAACTGAATGGGGTAAATAAGTAAGTAACTTGCTTCACAGAGTCTTGAGAACCCACCCTCTCTCACACATAACTCCATGTCCTATGACAATTATCATCTTCCAACTTACCCCACTACTTTTACTATCTGACCTCAACAGTCTCCTAAAAGCCCTGGAAGTCTATGATTCTGTTTCAGATAAAAGCTAGCTTTAAAGTGAATTCCTGTGGTTAATCATTTGATCAACCACCATTAGCCTAGGCCTAAGAAGTGAGAGGAACCCTGGAGGGTAAAGAGCAGCACGCTCTAGACAGCAGGGCCTCAGCCATCAGAGTCATGACATAAACTTTAGGACAAACACCATCCTGGTTGCTCCCACTGCTATCAACCCAAATCCTGAATCAGTTCCTTCAAAACAAGGGCTACAGCCTGGATCTCAGGACATGGCATAAAGCCTCTTGTTTTATTTTCCATATTTGTTAATATCTATGATAATGTCTACATTATGACCACTTTTAGAATGTTCTAGACAAAATAATAGCTAACTTGCAGGACCCCCCCCCCCCCCCGTGCATGGGTAACGTGGAAAAAAAAAAAAAAAAAAAAAAAAAAAAACAGGTTGAGTATAGTGTAAGATGTATCTAGCTGGACAGAGGTGAGTACTGCCAGCAGCCACTTCTATTTTAAAAACAGAATTAACTTTATTTTTAAAATATATGCGTATCAGAGGTTTAGGAGCATAGTTGAGGCCTATGGTGTTTTTGTCTGGAGTAAAAGATGATGTTTCTAAAGGAACTGGGTTTTTAGAAGGTTAGGGATCTAATCTAAGCCTAGCTACTCAAAAGGCTGATAGAATCATACATTGTGGCTTATATCACAATAAACAGTAAAGGGAGGGATAGGGACAGATTGTGGGGATAGAGTACCTGTCCAGTAGTACAAGCCCGAGGTTCAACCCTCAGAACCTCAATAAATAAACAGAATTTAAACCAAGGGATGATCCTTCTCACAAGAGATCTGCTGAGTATGGGAGTTCTTGCCATGCACGAGGTAACCGCATCTCTAGTATTGAGATTTATCATCCCAGTCACTCACAACTTGACAGATTTGGGGGTGGCGGGAATTCTGAAGTTTATTGTTAGATGATTGCCTTCCTCCAAAGTGTAGTGTCTTTAGCTCGGAGGAAGCTATCAGTACATTTGTTATGGCTTTTGGTCGATCAACTCTGAATGTGTTTTCAAAACAGGAAGTCCAGAGACAGATTCTGCAAAGGGTCCATGCTTATCCATCAGTTCCCTAGACATTCTTTGCAATCATGTAATGTGTTTGAAATTACTACATAGTTTCAGAAGTTCCCTTTCAGTGTGCAGGAAAGAAGAACACAGGAAACAAGTAAAAAAAGCAGAAAGTAAAACCGTAACAAAGGCAGAGTTAAGAAAGCAAATGCTGAGGCTGGAGAGATGGGCTCAGTGCTGAAGAGCCCTGGGTTCAATTCCTAGCACCACAGGGAAGCTCATAACTATCTCTACTCTAGTTCCTGGGGATCCAAAGCCCTCTTTTGGCCTCTGTGGGCACTGCATGCATATGGTATGTAAGTATGCGCGCGCGCATGCGCGCGCGCGCACACACACACACACACACACACACACACACCTAAAAAAGGAAAGAAGAGATTTTATTAATGTATGCATGTGTGTGTTTGAGTATAAGCTATATGTGTACAGGTAGCCACAGGGGCCAGAAGGAGGCATGAGATCCCCTAAGCTGGAGTTATAGGCAATTCTGAGATGTCCAACATAGGTGTCTCTGGAAGAGCCAGCACCTAGCACAAAGTAGCTCAGCAGGGAAAGGGCTCCACCTGATGAACCAGGCTCATTACCTGGGCCTCAGGAGGTAGAAGAGAACCAATTCCCACAAGTTGTCCTCTCCTCTCTACCTGAACACCCACACACATAATAATAAATAAATAAAAATGTAACTAAACATCTTCAGTGACATTCCCACACACAAGTCCTTCCCACATTTATGCACTCCCACCTCATCACATGACAGAGAAAAAGGAAGGCTCAAAGCAGGGTGAACACAGCCCACGATTCTCCATCTATAAGAAGGGTCCTCACTGGCTGGACTAGCTGGCTCTGAACACTGCTCTGACAAGTCCTACAAGGACTTGACAAGAAGCCACCATCTGGGCTCTGAGAAGGCTACTGCTACACAATAAGAACTCACTTTGAGGTACCCAGTTTCCATGTAGCCTATTTCCTGTGCTCAGGCTCTGGAAGACCTGTGGGTGCTTTTGACTTTGTATTCCATAGTACAAATACTCACTTAATAAATATTTAATAAAAGCCATCATGACTCACTCGGGAGCTCAGCCTCTAGGGCTCAGGAGGTCTGTTGCTAATCTCATCCAGCATGATTTACAGGAAGTAAATGATCTATGACGTGCTCAAAGTGAACAGAAGAACATACAGGATGCTTCTACTTAGGGCTTTTTTGGTAAAGAGAAGTAAGCAAGTTAAAAAGAGACAATATTTTCTCTTGACTGAAAATCTATGTAACCTGGAAGGGGGTGCTCCAACAAACCCCACAAAGTCAAACCAAACTGAATTACCCAAGTTTAGCTGCGCAATCCAGAATGTAACCACATCAAGTGAGCCGGGTCGCTGCAAAACACCATTTCCACTGGAGCTCTGACTTATTGTTCTCTGACTGCCCTGGAGCAATTTTGTTTTGAAGAGCACAGAACACCCTGTTCTGAATGTGGCTGGCACATGAACTCAATGTGCTGACAGCAATTTGTTCTCTGATTAAAATTGGGGGAGGGGGGGGGAAGAAGAGCACACAGCAGTAACAAAAACTGGAATGCAAAAAACCCCTAACCATACAGCTTGTATTTCAGGAAGCAAAACCGAGGAGGCTGCTGCTTAACTTTAAAAAAGTGCTGTTTAACGCCATAGCCTAAGACGTTAGCTTGGTGAGCGTCTGCTTTCCCTTTTCTAATTATAGTAGCTGGTGTCTGATAGCTCTGCACTCCTTCCCAAAACAATGACTGGGCCATTGGATCTGACAGAATGCTGTAATGGCATTACTACTGCGAAAGACCAGTCATCTGGCTAGTGAGAACCAGGTTCTGACAGGTCATTCCCACTCGGCAAGGCTCTGCTGCCTAACTTATGTGGAAAGCACTTTTCTGGGTCCATTTCCTGACAGAACAGGGTTTCCAAGAGAGTGGATGTTATTAAGGCCCAAGAAGGCAAGCAGAGATGACTTCCTAAACGCACTGAGGTATAGGACATTGTTCCTATCAGGCTTGATGGTCAGGTTCCCCCCATATTGCTTCCCTGTCTGCTCTGAACCAGTCTGCTCTAATCCAGGAGAAGGATTACTGTGAGACAGACACTCGCACCGGGCATGCATGGAGCTTGAATGACTACTGGGATGGCAAACATTTGTAATCTTACTACTCTCCCCTTCACAACAGTGTAGAATGTGAGCCAGGCATTGATACTAATCAGTTCCAGTCTGCCACCTAACAACCCTGGCTACGGGACCCCCAGTTTCTTCAGCCATGGAAGGTGACACTGGCTAACTTGTAACTATAGAGTAAACCAGGCACTCAAAAGCCAAGTGTAGTGGCATTTGGGAAGCAGAAACAAGAGATCACTGCCAGTTTGAGACCAGATGGGGATACACAATAGTTGGAGGGCAATCAGCTACCCAGAGAGACCTGGTCTCAAGTAAAGAACCATCACCACCAAAAGGAAATTAAATTTAAAAAGTTAAGTACTCAGGAGCCTGGTGATGTAATTAATAGTGAAGTGCCTACTCACAAAACACCGGGTATAATACTCCACACTGCACAAAATAATAACTACGTATGTAGAGTGCACACAGTGGCAAATACAATTTTAGGGAAATTTTATCACCACTCAAGAGACAGAGAGGCAAGAGTACCAGACTTAGTGACATGAGATCTTGTCTCTACAAAAAACAAAGGGGCTAGAAAGACGTCTCAGCTATTAGATGCACTTGTTGCTCTTGCAAAGGACCTGGTTTCAGTTCCCAGCACCCACATAGTGGCTCACAAATATCCATAATTCCAGTTCTATGGGATATGATGCCTATTTCTGACCTTTTCAGGCATCAGCTATGCATGTGGTACAGACATGCAGACAAAACACACACATGCATAAAACAAACATTTAAAAAAAATGTAAAAGAAAACAAAGCAGACAAAAAAAAGTTAAGCGCTAAATTAAAGCATTTGACTGATATTCCTT